ATAAACAGCCATAGAAACACCATCACATCATTTTCAATATTTAATTTTTTTTTTATTATTATAAATCTTAGTAGATACATTGTTGCATGAATGGGCATTCTGATATAGAACATTCAACATTTAGAATCTTTGATAAATCTGAAGCAGGCTTATCAAAGGAGCCAAAAATGTTTGTCTAAAAGAAAAACAAGACTGGAATTGTACTCAGAAGTAAATTTTTCAAGTATAGATGAAGATGAAGAGAAATGACAGTAAGGTAAGTATTAAATTATAAAAACACAATCACAATCCACATCACACACAATGCAATGGCTTGGGCATGTAAAAAGGATACATTCAGAATGAAAGGACAAAAAGGATAAGCTGAATTGAAAGTATTAAAAAATACTCCTAAATGCAATCATATAGAAATGTCACTAATCCGGATATAGAAAAAAAAATTTATTAATAAAATAACATAACCCATCACTGACAGTTGAGGAAGGAAAAACATTAAAATAATCCTATAAAAAAAAAACACTTCAAATGCTATTAAAGAATATAAACATAATATTCTTATGTTTCACATTTTAAAAAATTCCAAGTAAAAGACACTGTATCTAATAATTGCAGATAATAATAATCTAAACTTAAAATTCTATTTATACTTAATATCAATAAATCCTAGAATAAAATAAATAAAGAATACTTTTAAAAATTTATTAATTGAATTTCTTTCAGAAACATTTTCAATATTGAATTTTGTTTTCAATTCAAATTACATTATTATTTCAGTATGCAGAACTTAAATAATTAAAAACAAAACAAAGTCAGTTTTTCCCAATAAAACATTTCTATACAATAAATTTCAATTGTAAATTAACTGTTCTTATGTTGGTTTTTAATAGGACATTTGAACAAACATTTTTATTCCAATCCCTCAGAGATGTATAAATCATGAACCAGCAGACAAATCACAATCTATTAATTACAAAAAACTAAGAACATTGNGCGTACATATATTGATTTTTACACATACACGAAAGATGTGTATCTTTAATATACATTTAAAAAATATCAATATAAATTCTAATTTCTTACATAATTTGATTTTTCCAAATGTCCTGTGTCAAAATATGTATTTTAAATTAGGATATATTTTATAATAATTTTGTATTATTATTTGCAAACCATTAAAGAACAAGCAAGCAGGAAACTCAAATTCAAATATAAAATTTTCTTGAAATTTTTCATTTTATCATTATCTAAAAATGATATATAAATATAAGAGAGAAACTTATAATTGTAGGAAGAAGTAGAGAAAAAGAAACAAAAAATTTCAAATATACAAGTTTAACTATTATAAAATAAATAAATAACAATATATTTGGCTATTTTTTAACACTAGCATTTAAAAAAATTACAATTTATTTAAGAAAAAATTGATAAGCCTAATGTATTTCAATTTTAAAACTGTTTCAATGTTACATTAAAATGAACTTTCTTAAAAACTGTTAATAGACAAGAAATGAAGATCCTTACAATATTCAATTAAATGACTATTAAATAAATTTTGCATACATGCTACTAACAAGGGTTCTTCTCATGTCAGTTTTATATTTTAATAACATATATATCATTCACTAGAGGAGAAAAATATAAGACAGTCTGTACTTTTTCTTTTATCTGTCAGGTCAGCCATTTGCAATATTTTAAAATGTTCTAATGCATTCTATTGGATTCATATAGAAATATGAATGTTGTTAACTGGACAAAAAACTACCTTTCCAGAGTTACTGACGGCAAAATAATGTATTATACACTGTGCAATTGCTAGATGGAAAGAGAGCATGTATTTTCACCATCCCGCCAAAAGCAACAAAGTGTGTATAGCCTCTGGATGTTTATTTCTTTAGGCACTTTAAGATTATAACAGAAGAATACAGGAAATGATCAAAGTAGAAGTTGATGATAAAAAACACAAACCTATAAACCTTATAAACGAAATTCCAGTGCAGTTTAAATGCAGATAAAAGACAAACGTTTTAGATCTACATAAAAGATATTCTTCGAGTTAATTTCTTCTTGGTGGAAGTTGATAATGCAACCATTTTTAAATTAAATAACAGAAAATTTATTTTAAATCTGTATTCGTTTACATATAACCAATTATGTTCTCTTATTTTTAACATATGTTAATATATGCATAGCAGAAGTTGGAATGTGTGATAGAAGAGAACATTAAAAGTTTTTCTAATGTTGTCAATATAAATTTTACATTTCCCAAAACATTGTTCATTAGAAGATTATGATAGAAATGCCTTCATTTCACATGCTCATTGTAAACAATTAATTTATCTTAAACACTGTATTTTTCCTTTGTAATTACATTAAATCATAAAAAGTAAAAACCTCAAGCAGAATAAAGGCTTGGCATGACAGGAATCAATCCAGTGTGGGCACATTGCTTCCACTGTGCCACCAGTACCATATTTCTAGATGAATTACATTAGAACATTTTAGAAATCTATTTCTTGCAAATGGCAGACCTGACAGATAAAAGAAACAAATATGAGTCTTATTTTTTCCTCTATCAAACGATATATATTTTATTAAAATGTAAGATTGACATGAGAAAACCTTCTCTTGTAAAAAATTTCTAGAAACCACAATCATTTATATGATATATATTTCTTTTCTTATATAAATTTTCTTTTAGAAAATATTTGTGTTTATCAGAAAATTTGATTAGAGATATGTTTAAAATAAATTGGTTTATATATATAAACAAATTTCCAGATATCTTAAACATATCTCTAATCAAATTTTCTGATAAACACAAATATTTTCTAAAAGAAAATTTATTTTTTCATAATCTTCAATTTATAATTAAATAATATAATAAAAATTATTAACCATTTGTAGATAAAAGGAAGTGTGCTGGATTTCTTCTCTTTAGCCATCTTATCTTATTAATCTTCTCTTCTATCTCCAAACTTTTCAGATAATCAAATTCTGGCTCATGACTTTGAAAGGTGCTGTACACATTATATTCACCTCTACGAGGAGCTGAATGCTTTGACTAAATAAAAGAAACAATTTAATAAATAATCATATAAAATAACATAAATAGTACATATAGTATAACAAAAGCTCAACTTAAACATAACTTTTTCTGTGCTGTGATAAATTCACACAGTACAAGAAAAAGGATATACAATGAATGATCTCATGGTCATAAAAAATAGAAAACATTAAATAAAAACAAAATCCAAGTACCATAATTTCAAGCAGATAATCCACATTTTAACAGTGTTCAAAGGCCAATTTGAAAGCAGATACAGGCTAAGATATCTGTCAATTACAACTTTCAGTTTTCAACTCAAATAGCTTTTCTTCTGTCTAAAGTTACAAAAAACATTCTTAGAAATGTTAAAATTGTTAGACGTCCATGTTTTACAACTCCTCAACAATAGTGCTTGTGAAAAGAATGAGAGATCTCATCCTGTGTTTTAAAAATAAAAATTCCCTTTTTTATATAGTTGTATTTTTTTTCTCTCTCTCTCTGTGCAGTCTTTAAAGTTTGCAACTGCTTTGCGATCTGTGTTAATAACTTCAATAAAGTTTTTTTTTTTTTGAAGACATTGCTGGTACATATAATTTGTCATCCTATCCTGCGCTATAAATGGACAAATTATCATTAACATATCAACACTAGAGTTAATGATAGAAGACCTTAACCCTAACACTGATTATGAGACTGAAATTGCTGATAAGGATGTAAAATGCCTGTCTCAATAAGCTATGACGTCCTTTAATGAGTCATAAGCAAAACAGAAATTAATCATTACCAACGAGTTAGTGATTAGTGCAAAAGGCATCTTAACTGTTGTCGTTCTGACATTATAGCACCATATTGAAATTTTTTTCTCTTAGCAAAAGTACCAGGTGTATAAGCTTAAATCCGCTGTTTGCTAATAGATGGTGTAAGTGAGCGTATTAAGCTGCCATGACGATGCCATACATTTTCTCGATGATTTTGACATCTGTCAACATTAATCAGTGCACATCATCAGCAATTTCATACAACAACATATATTTTTCCTTTGATAATCATGTCTACTTTTGTGCCAGAAAAAGAGCATATGCAGCAAGTTTTGCTTTTCTGCTTCAATTTGAAGAAATCAGCTGCCGAAGCACATCATATGCTTGTGGAGGCTTATGGCAACAGTGCTTTATCGTAAACCATGTCAGTGGCGTAGCGTAGTGGGGGTGGCCCGCCCCGGGCAGCACTTTTAGGAGGCGGCAAAATTTCACAATAAATAATAATAATAATATCTTATAAAAATTTGAACAATTTCATTTCATATTTTTGTCGCACCTACGATTCGGACCAATTGAAATGAGCACGGAATTTTTCATTACTTATTCTGTGATGAAACTGAATTTTAGTCTTTTAAATTGAGATACCTAAATAAGGGGGCGGCGAAATTTTCCTCCACCCTGGGCGGCTGACACCCACGCTATGCCACTGAACCATGTGCAGAGATTGGTTTAGTCAGTTCAAAGATGGCAATTTTGATCTGAGCGTGAAAATCGGTCCAGGAAGGTTGAGGACCATCAACTGCAGGCTCTTTTGGATGAGGACGATACCCAATTGCAAAAAACGCTTGCTGAGCAATTGGGTGTTACTCAACCACCATTTCCATGCATCTACGTGCCATGGAAAAGATTCAAAAGATCGGAAAATGAGTGCTGCATGAAATGAACGATAGGCAGATGGAGCAACGCCAAAACACATGCGAAATCTTGCTTGTCAGACAAAACAGAAAGTCATTTCTGCATTGGATTGTAACTGGCGATGAGAAATGGATATATTTCAAGAATCCTAAATGCAAGAAATCGTGGATTGATCCAGGAAAACTATCAACATCTTCCCCAAGACCAAATTGCTTTGGATGAAAGACAATGCTATGCATTTGGTGGGATCAGCATGTATCATCTACTATAAGCTGTTGAAACCTGGTGAAACTGTCAATGCCCACTGCTACCACCAACAACTGATCAAATTGCACTGTGCTCTGTGTGAAAAAAAAAGCTGGATTATCAGCAAAGACACAACAAGCTGATTTTCCTCCATCGCACACGTCAACATTGGTCTGAAACTACTTGGAGACACTCAACTGGGAGGTGCTACTCATGTGCTTATTCACCAGACCTAGCCCCTTCCGACTATCACCTGTTTTCATTGATGGGCCATGTGCTTGCTGAGCGGCACTTAAATTCTTACGAAGACACCTGAAAATAACTTGATGAGTAGTTTGCCTTGACAAAAGGAGTTTTTTTCGCATGGTATCCACACATTGCCTGAGAGATGGAAAAAATGTGTCACTAATGAGGGAAAGTACTTTGAATAAATTTGTTTTTTGCTTTCTAAGAAAAAAGAAATGTGCGTTTTCCTGACTAAAAAACAGCAGATTTAAGTACCTGGTAAACCATCACAAATGGTAAACCTGTCACAAATGGCAGTTTCAAAAGAAAATAATAATAGTATTGAAAAATTAAATGATAAAAATTATTCAATATGGAAGTTTTGAATGGAGATGCTATTAATTAAAAAAAATTTATATGAAGCAGTATTCACCATAAAACCTGAAAAACCAGACAATGAATACTATAAGCATGATCTTACTGCTAGAGCATTAATATTCTTAAATATTTCAGATTTTCAAATAATTCATATAATACATGAATCGACTGCTTCAGAAATGTGGCAAAAGTTAAAAAGTGTCCACAAACGAGCTAACTTAACAAGCAAATTATTTTTGCTTAGAAAGCTTTATTCTATAAAGTATGATGAAAATATGAAAATGCAAGATCACATAAAAGATATTCTTGAATCAAAGGAATGCCTCGAAAGCATTGGTGAACAGATTAAAGAGTCACACTTATGTGCTATACTGCTATGTAGTTTACCAGTCATATTCTACTTTAATAACTGCACTGGAAAGTAAAGATGAAAAATAACTAACACAAGGATATATAACAAGTAAATTGATAGATGAATACGAAAGGCATTTACAAAGTAAACAAAGTTCATCAGGACAAGCGTTAGCATCTAAAAGCAAAAATGCAGAAAAGTGGAACTACAAAGAAAAGCAATCTTGCACTTACTGCCACAAATGTAATCATTATAAAAATGAATGCTGGCATTTAAACAACAAAAATAAGGCAAGTGAAGATGCTTTTGAGAGACAAAGAACAAATAAAAATGTTCACAAGAATTGTGATAAGCAACACAAGTCCACTTTTTGTGTAGAAAAGGATAAACAAGGTGAAAGAAAAGTACTAAAGGTACAATTGTATGAAACAAATTATGTTGACAATGATTGGGTCATTGATTCAGTGCAATGTGTCATATGACAGGAAACTTAAAATTTTTCCAAAAACTTAACAAGCAAAAGGGCAACTCTATCACCATTGCCAATGGAACAAAGCTGAAATCACATGGCATAGGTGTAGGATGTATAAAGGTCAGAATACTTCATAGAAATGAAGAAGAAATTCTCTTAGAGAATGTACTTCATGTTCCAGAGTTAGATGGAAATTTACTCTCAGTAAAAACCATAACTGATAGAGGCTGCTTAGTTAAATTTGAAAATAATGTATGCACCATAGAGAATGATGATGAGTTAATTGCTACAGATAATTATTATTGTCTTACTGTCCTTATTTAATTTCTTATTATATATTTGTCAAAGTGGGTACAGGTAGCTTAACAAAGAAAGTCTGTTTTCTTTAAGAACTTTTTCCTCAATTCCTTTTTAAATGCTTAACAACAGTATAATTGTCCTGTTAATGATTAATGATCATGTTGACAAATATATAATAAGTAATTGCTACAGACATTGCCATAGATAGTATTTACAAGTTAATTGCTGTAACAAATAGGCAAGAGCAAGTAAACAGTGCTGAATTAATGCAAAATTATACAAATAAAAATTGCATACTTAAGTGGCATCAAAGACTAGGTCACAGAAAATGTGACACAATGAAACAAATGGAAAGAGAAAACTTAGTAGAAAGAATAAAGTTGCATAATTGTAAACATGATTTACGATGTCCAATATGCATTAAAGCAAAGCTCACTGAATTGCCATATCCAAAGTCTACTTACAGAGCTAGAGCCATTGGAATTGGTCCGTAGTGACATATGTAGTCCAATGCAAGTAGACAGTATAGGAGGAGAGATACTTCCTTACATTTGTAGATGATTTTTCTAGATTTACTATGATATATCTAATTGAAAGCAAAGATATATCTTTATCTTTGCTTTCAATTAGATATATCATAGTAAATCTTGCAAAACTGCAAAACTGAAAGAATTTGTAGCTTCAACTACAAATAAATTCAGAAGAAAAATCAACACACTAAGACCGATAATGGTGGTAAATACTGTAATAAAAATGTTGAAGAATATTTAACAAAACAAGGAATCACTCATCAAACTATAATACCTTATTCTCCTGCACAAAATGGTGTTGCAGAAAGAACAGATCTCTCATAGAAATGAGATGAGCTATGATAATAAATGAAAATCTTGCAAAATCCTTTTGGGGAGAAGCAGTGATAACTGCAAATTATTTGCAGAACAGATTACCTACTAAAACAATAAATAAAACACCATATGAGTTATGGAACAAAAGAAAGCCCAACCTAAACTATCTTAAAATTTTTGGATGTAAAGCATATGCCTATATAAATAAGCATAAAAGAAGAAAATTAGATGAGAAAGCCATTGAAGGTACTTTGTAGGGTATGATATGAAAACTAAGGAATACAGGATTTACACAGGTGATAGAAATGTAATAATAAGTAATCAGTAAAATTCCTAGAAATGAATACAGGAAAAGAAAATAAAGAAAAACAAACTATGGAATACTAAAGATGTCTTCCAATTTTTCCGTGTTAATGAAAGTTTTCCAGAAGAGCAAGACTCAGAAGTAGAAACAGTCTGTAGAAATGCAAACAGAAAAAGAAACAGAATCAGAAATTCCACTAAGGAGGTCTGAAAGAGCAACCAAAGGTATACCTCCAGAAAAACTGACATTTAAAGCTGAAGTTAAAATTCCACATAGAGATCCAAAGTCACTTGAAGATATACTGGAATTACCAAAAGAAGAAAAGCAAAAGAAGAAAAGCAAAAATGGGAAAAAGCAATGAGTGAAGAAATTAATTCCTTAAAAGAAAAAAAAAAACTTGAAAATTAGCTGAGCTACCACAAGATAAAAGAGCAATAGGATGCAAGTGAGTTTTTAAGACAAAGTATGATTAAAATGGAAGAGAAACAAAATGTAAAGCAAGATTAGTAGCAAAAGGCTATGATCAAAGATTGGAACTGACTTTGATGAAACATTTGCACCAGTTAAGCATACAACTATTACAGCAGTTTTAGCTTCAGCTGCATATATAAAGGAATGAAAGTACATCATGTTGATGTCAAAATCTGCATTTTTAAATGGAA